CATAAATAAGCTTGTTGCTCATATTTTGCTTTCTAGAAATCTTAGAATCAGAAGAGTGATTAATTATAATTAATTTTAAGAAAATCTCAGTTCTCTTTTGATTAACACAGGATGAAATGTTATAAGCACCAAGAATAATGCTCACTTTATTTCATGTTACTATTAATTTTGAATTTTGCCTCAGAATGTGAAAATGGAAGAAGCGATTGAATTGACCAGTAACAGATTATGCAATCTCAACTTGCAAAAAGGAGGCATTGCAAGCGGGTATTAAAAACAAGAAACTCACACGTTTTTACATTCACAAAAAACAAATAGGTTTAACCTTTGGAAGTGAACAAAAAAACCAAAGAAAATCTCATCACTGACATATAGTCCCCTCCCTCGAAGTGCTTGTTAAGAAGAGACCCCCCGCATGAAAGCAACCTACCTGCCAATAATTAAAAAAGCCCACATCGCTGTAGGATGTCTTGCGTCTGGTTCATTAGTTTTTGGTTGCACATTCTGTTCACCTGTAGAAGGAAAGAATGAAGTGGCTTCTTCATTTTTTTTGGTTGGGGTACGTGAGGGCAAGTGGTCTTTTTTTCAGGGGGAAGAAAATGCGTTATTTTATGAGAGTCGTTAGTTTCTTGAACTTGAGTGAAATACGACAACGCTCCCTGGTGGGGGTTCCAGAAGCTACGCGGGACACGTATGTTACCATGCTTCTGATGAGAAAGCTAGTTTTTTTCCACCCCCTGTGCTTTCTTTCCTTAAGAAGAAAAAAAAAATATCAGCAGTACTTTTTTCTTCACTTTAATCACGATTTCTAGAAATTCAAAAATGCTGCGAAATTTTCAGAATACCATGAACGCGGTCTATCACTAATATGTAAAACTGTTTTTATAAGTGCAGTGATGTTTACCTCCTTCAATAACTGCATCTTATACCGAAATCTTCAACCTTAGATGGCACACAAAATGTATTACAGATGTTCCTGCATCAGTGTCTAAACAATATTCGAACAGAAATTTAGGAATGAGAGCAAACAACTCTAAAAGTTTGCATTGACTGTGCCTGCACGAATGCAATGACAGCTTTTTTTCTAAAGATTTCCGCATTTAAATATAATAACGGCCACATTGACGTCAATGATAATCATGCAAATTAAGAAAGGATTTAAATAAGATTTATAAATGGATGCAAAAGTTTTAGGTCTTGCAGTTTGAAAACAAAACCAATCGAGGTTATGTAGCTTGAAGAAACTAAACACGACCGAGAACAAAGATAAATTTAAATTTCTTAAAAACCTTAACATCCTGAGGAGAACATTGTTTAAGTTGGAAATATGCGATGAATTAAGGGTATTAAAATTCTTTATTGCCAGAGGCAGATGACATTTTTGTAGTTCAAGTTTGCAGTCAGAATGTTTTGCTTTTGCTCAACCTGATCCGATTACCAGAACCAGTTATGCAATTCGTCTTTTTTCAGTTCTTATGCTTAAAGTTCTTATGCTCTTTAAATTTAGTAGAAATTACTTTTAAATCTCGCTCATATGCTATGGATTACATATTTAATTTGTTGTAAAACAACAGTTATCGCTTTAGAACAATCCAATAAATTTCAAATTTACTTAACTCTCAATGCAAACATAATTAAGAGTACAGAAAAGATCTTTTCTTTCATTTTCTGTGCTTAAATGAATTTGAACTGTTAAATTATTTAGTGATCAATGAATTAAATATCAAAAAAGCTCCTTTCGTGCACTATCAGTTTCATTCTGTAGTTTAATTGCTGATGACAAATGTCACTGCAGTTCTTAAAACTCACGCTAATTATAATTAGTATATCTATTTATAACCCTATAACAGTTTACTATTAAGGTGAATTTTTTTAATATTATAAGGTGTTTCTCCCACTTTCCTAGCGTCCTTCGTGGTGTAGTGGTTCTGCACGCTGGGCCGGTATTCCAGAGGTCCGTGGTTCGATTCCCGGCGAAGGCGGTTTCTAATTTTTCATCTCTCTGGCTTCCAAAAATTCCTAATGTCTCTACAACATGATACTTTTTTTTTTTTTTTTTTTTTTTTTTTTTTTTTTTTTTTTTTTTTTTTCTTTTTTTTTTTTTTTTTTTTGCAAAACACTCGTCGGCCTTCCTGTTTATTAAATAATTCAGCGGAAAAGAACGGTTTCTACCCACTAGCAGAGAAAAAGTCTTTTTCTCTTTAACACGGAATAGCAATGCGATTCTAAGATCCCCGTGGATGGAATCGGAATCTAAGAGGTGAATGCATGGAAGAAATATAGATACTAAATGCAAACGCTTCTTCTTTAAACTGCCTGGTCCATTTTATGTTTATTTAATTATTGTGTTTATTTTTGTTTATGTTTATTTACTTACTTATTATTAATATTTGTGTACTATAATAAAAAGATGATATTTGAATAGCCATTCTTTTCATAGTGCATTTTTTCTCAATTATGTATACAGTTCACTAAAATTTCTTGCCTAGAAATAATTAGCAGAATCATTTTAAAATTAACATATGTCTGACTACTTTTCTTATCTAATTGATTTGTCCATGAAATTCTTACGTTCAAAAAAAAAAAAAGATCTACAGCTCGGCTTTTAGCTATATTACAAAGGAATTGGAGAGAGCTTTACAACGCAGGATCGATATTATAACTACCAAAGCTAAAAGAAAGGACGGATAATCAGAGAATTAAGAATGCTACTATGATAGAGAAGTATTTTTGAAAGCAGGATAGAACTTAATCCTATCCTGCTTTCAAAAATGGTAGTGGTAGAAGGAGGGACATCAACTCGCCAAAAGAAGACCCGCCTAGAATGTTTTAAATTAGTGGCAAACAGAACGCGTTGTGAAGCAGTAAACAGTTTCGGAAGCATCCAGAAGAAGGGTCTTACATCATTCTATTTCACAACTTAAGTACTGATGTTAATTAGTAAAACATAATTGTTATTAAGCGTATCAATGTTTAAGTATCATTAAAAATTTAGATATCTCTTTAAGTGGAGTCATATATTATTGTCTCATGCATTCGCACCAGAATAACTCCATATTTTACGTATTGCACAATTTATAAACTCTTTATACAATTATGAAACATTTAGAGCCACATTTTAGCGCATATCTCTAGCATCAACTCAACTCTTGCTGAAATTCTTACTAAAATTCAAATTTTATCGTACTCTATTTAGAGGTACTGTAATGATTTATATGAGAAATTTTCTATATTTTAAAACAATTAATTTATATTAATGATAATTACAGAATATTAATAATATGGAATTACAAAGCTGTAATAGTAGAAAAAGTTATAATGCTATAATATAAAGACTATATTGCGTTCCATTCGTTTAGTCAGTAGTTTTAATCCTTTTCCATGCTCGTGAGTTCCTTGGATCCATCTGCCACACACTTCGAGTTTTGCCTTTGCTTGCTTTGAAATAGTTCAGTTTGTTAATTATTCAAAATTTGATGGCTCAAAGTATCGTCGTTTTCTAACAGTGCGAGAAACATATATACATTCATGTACATTCTTTATTATTTAATTTTGTTAAGTATAATACAGGGCGATAAAATTCAATGTCGATAATTTAAAAAGTGATTCGCCGATTATAGTGAAACGCCACAAAATGTCGTTTTAAGACTAATAGCCCTTCTGTGCTACCGCCGCCTTGGACTAATAATTTTTTTTTTCATAACACTATAAAGAAATTTCTTATATATAAATACCATTAACAGTCAGATTTGCAATCGTTGCAATACTATTTGATTGGAACCATATCATAATATTTATGTATGTTTTAAATTATATATATATATATACAGAGAGAGACTGAGAGAGAGAGAGGGATTAAGAAACCAATTGGTTCACCAATTACAATGCCTTAAACTACAATATGATTAAAACTTTTAGTTTCTAATAGGAACTTGAATTCAGATTGATCCCTCATCCTTTATATTTGCTACAGTTTGAAGTTTTGACCATCTGGCTTTCTATCCAAATTGTCAAGTCATTTTAAATTTGTAAAAGACGTTGAGGCTGAATGCAGAAGGTAGAGCTAGGGGTAGGGCTAAAAATGAAAGAGGCACCAGTCCATGTCCAATAAACCAACAGATAACGCATCTGTCCACTAACCAGCTTCAGCACAGTCACCTAACAGCTGATACGAGCATTAACATTGAACATGCGCCTTGGTACAATATTACTTGGTACAATGATCAAGTTAATTCGTTCTTACTTGTACAGTATTATATTAAATGTATTCCTAAGGTCAAAAGTAGCTTAATGGTGCACAAACGAGAAAATTCAAAATTAATAAAATTTTATATCATGAATCTACAAAAATTAGGCTTAAACCAACTAAGCAGAAAATGTAACCCTTCTGAAGCAAAAGACTGATAATTATTGTATTATTAATTTGAGTTAGAGCAATTGCTGTAGAGTTAATTCAAATTCTATATGATGGATATTTCGTGTTAGGAAATACCACATTAGGGTTTACTTTTACACAGCACCCTAAAGGTTATTACGAAAGTGATACTCATCTGTCTTTGAAAGTGAAAAGAATTTTCTTTCGAACTTCAATATCGAATGTACCTACATTCTGTAGATTAGTGGTACATGGATTTCTGCGGTAACACATGTGGATGATAATCATGGTTTCCCATCTCTAGACAGACGTTTTGTTTCTGAAACATAATAAAAGACTTCTCTAAACCTAAAAAGTTTGATAAAAATATGATAAAATGTCAAAAAAATTAACCCTCCATAAAGAAAAGATATCTTGGTTGAGAGGGATGAAATGACGTGCTTGGGCATTAATCCAATGAAAAATCACGAGTTTACGCGGCCTATAAGGAAAAGAAATGTATTTCTTGGATGTTTGCCATGATTGGCGTATTATCTTGACTATGGCGAGGTATTTTTTCATATCCGAAATTTATTCAGTTCGTGTCTCAGATCGTGAATATTTAATTACTCGGCCCAATCAATCACAAAGAAATGACTATTGCGTAATAAGCACAGCTGATGGATTACTGGTTTTTGGAGGGTGTTGGCTTCTGCGAAATTTGGCCCTGCACAGCACATTCGAGAATTCACATCTGTGTAAGTTTTATCTGTATCAGTCTATGATGATGATAAGTGGAACTGCAAAGCTGAATATGGCTTTCAGTTTATTATTTATACTTTTATTTCTGTTAATCCATTTAATTCTTTATTTTTTTCCACAAAATTTGCTGACTTATAATACTATGGGAAAAATTTAAATTCCTCAAGCAGGAAATCTTTGAAGATAATTTCGCTTTGTGTTAACATAAAAGTAAAAACTAATCGGAGTTGTTTATTTTGCACCACTGGATGTAAAACAATTAGGTGTAGCGAAATGATTACAAAAGTCTCCTAAACTTTAGTACAAACAGAATAAAAAACAACTCGCAGGGAAAATTATTACTATTATTATTGTATGTATAAAAGAATGTGAAAGCCCTCTGCCTAAAAGGAGGAATGCCTTCGAGAAAAATATTTTAAGAACAACTGGCTCCTATTTACGTCATATACAATGAAACTCCTAAAATTTTCATGAAACCGAAACTGCGCGACTATGTTTGCTGCATACGCTTTTGCATAGACCTACCCCCACGTACAACCCGAACATCAATTTTCACTTAGTCCTCCACGGGGGGGGGTTACCTTCCGTAGGTAGCTAAACCTGATAATACTTAGTCATAATCTAATAAATCGTGGTCTTGACCGGTCATTGTATTATTTTGCGTGTTGTGTATGTAGAATTACATTATATATACACGTATTGTACTGTTGATGTATCATATTTCCTTTGCATCAATGTTATTTTTAAGTATTATTTCATTTTTATTATTATTGTAGTGTTATTAAGGTTTCTTATTTTCTTTTATAGGAATATTAACATAGTTTAGTTATTCATGGTATATTTTAGTATTTTTATTAAAATAGTATTTGTATTTTATATTTCTTTCATTGCTGTCTACAGACCTAGATATTATGTTTTCACGAGTATTGTCTCTTTGTATTATGAGTTATTACTTACATCCGTAAGCCTCGTGGAATACTTCGTGGAACTTGAGGCGTTTTGTATTTATTTTCTTAATAAAAAAATCACATGTAATCAGTACGTTTGCTGGGATTCGAACTACTAGTGTTCAGAGGCCTTATCCACTAACTCACATTTGAAACCACAAGTTACATGAAGAAAATTATCGTCTTATCCTTTTGTCAAATTACATGCTTTTAAATATGATGATTAGATGATTTTCAGGCTGACTTGGATGGAATTTCTTTCGGTTTACATACTTGATATATGCATAGAAGATTTGGTGGGAAATTACAGTTTAATAATGTTATGTGAATTATAGTTATGTGAAGTTGTGCGTGCACTTGCTAGTATGCATATGCGTTTATATACACTGATGTGCAAAACTTAAGCAACAATGTAAATTTTAATCAGATAGCCATTAAATTGTAGAAAAGGGAATTCTTGCTATCGGTATAATGAACACGCAATTCAGTAGAAAGGTCATGCATATGCAAATACCCGGAAGAAAAATACGTCACAGGTTACGTGAACGTACGCAAAACGCGTACGGTCGGCGCGCTCAACTCGAGACTACCATAAAAGGAAGGATGAAGACGCAATTAAAGACATTCGCTGCAAGTACAAGGAGTTCTTTCGTGAAATAAATGGCTAGAAGAAATGATCTGGATGACTTCACACGTGGAAGAATGATCGAAAATCTGGAGTAGGGGCGGAGTGTTACCAGTAGAGCTGAAGAGTTCGGAATCAACAAAAGTGTCGTTTCGCGCGCTTGGCCTTACAAACCATAGGTACGGCTGTTAGATAGGTTGGTGGTGGCCGCCCAAGGAAATCAACTGCAGTGGACGACCGATATATTGTCCTGCAGGCGAAAAGAGCCTGAAATCAGTCACCACACTCCATAGTTCAACAACTATGTACAGCAACGGGGCGACAAGTGTCGCGGTTTACTGTGTCCAGACACCTTCACAAAGTTTGCTTATTCGCCTGCCGTCCTGAACGCTGCATCCCTTTAAAACTTGGCCATCGGCGTCACCGTTTACAGTGGTGCAAGAAGCGCTGGAGTCGCATCCTCCTTACGGATGAGAGTCATTTTAGTGCCACAAGCGATTCTCAACAGAAATTGATTTGGAGAGAGGTCGGGATACGGTTTAATCTCAGTAACATCACGGAAAGAGACCGTTACGGTGTCCTGAAGATCTCGTCTGGAGAGGCATTATGCTGAACGGGCTGACAGAGCTCCACCTTTTCGGCAGAAGTTCTGTGACCGGAGATCGCTATTGTCAGGAGGTGATTCTTCCCCATGTGCGTCTGTTCCGAGGTACCATTAGAGCAGATTTGGTTTTTATGGATCACAATGCACGGCCACACCAGACTCCTGCTGTTCAGAAGCTACTGAAAAGTTAAGATATTACTCGAATGGATTGGATAGCGCGCTGCCCTGACTTAAATCCCGTAGAACATGTGTTGGATGCTTTGGGGAGATGCCTTGTGGCACGATTACATACTCCGGGGAACACCCAGCAACTGAAACAGATGCTGATTGAGGAATGGGCGTTCTTACCTCAAGATCTGTTGGACAATCTGGTGCTGAGTATGGAGAGACCGTTCGAAGCAACCATTGTAGTAAGGGGAGGGCATATCCCATAGTAAGAAACATCTGCTTGTTGTTCTTCCTGTTGTACAGACAATCATGTATAACGATACTATGAGTTCAATAAAGTCTATTTTTGTTTGATTTCATACTGTATGCATTGTATTCATTTTTAAGCTCAATTATGCTTTCGGCATTGTTTAAATACAAAATGCTGTCTCTTAATTCTGAATTTCATGTCTCTTAGATGATTTCTCGGGAAGTTATGCAAAAAAGAACACCTGTTGCTTAAGTTTTGCACACCAGTGTAGTTTCCGTATTTTAACATTCGAAAGTATACAAAGGTATCAAATGTCATAAGGTGTGTTGTTCAAATTTATGGTAATCGTTGAGAATATCGCAGATATGGAAGAGAGATCTGTTTTAACTATTTTGCTTGCACTAATATTAGTAAGCCATTTTCCAAGATAAAATTTGAATTCTTTCACCCTCACGTATGCGTACATAGCACTTCTTTTCTATAGCCTTAATAGTTACAGAGAACATATTTTCTCTTAAACTGGAAATTTATGACTCGTCTATTATTAGCAGTCTCATATCGACTTTGATAGATGGAGAATAGCAAAGGTTTTTGTTTATTTTCGAAATTTGTGCATATTGTTTTCTATCGTGTTTAATGCATGAAGTAAATGTTATGTCAAAATTACATTTGACAGGAGATATAATCTTTGAACTGTGATAATGCACCAGCTGAATTTTTTTTCAAAAATACTTGTTTGAAGGAGGAAATGATGAATTTGTATGCAAAGTAATATATGAGAGGCAAATGTTCTTTTTTTACCTTTTCTTTTTGTGCATTCTTCTTAAATTTTATTTTTAATCTTGGAATGAAAGTTTAGTTTTGAACTGCTAAATTATTTAATAACAAAATTCTATCGTTTGTAATCATGATCGAAAATAATCGATTCAGTAATCGTTTATAAAATGTTCACAGCAAATATGCCATAATATCTGATGAATCCATAGCATTAACGCATTGGTAATTCTATATGATTCTACATGTGTACATGAAGAAAGTACCTTCAATTTGCGTATCCAGAAAAATGGAAAATTATATGCTCATACTAAATGTTAGATGGTATTTGAAAAAAATTATGACATATACTTACATCAATGCTGACATTTAAAATGTTTAACATACTGAAAAAAACTGTTCTTTGCACAAAGAAATAAAACCGTTCTTTGCGAATTGGATGCGGAAGTGAAAAGAAGTACCCTGAATGAGGAAGCTAGAGATTAACGTTTACATTTAGATGCCAGTTCAGAAGCATAATTTTATGTTAAGCTAATTATAATACTTTTATAGTAGTTTTTTTTGGATATCATTGTTGTCATTGTCTATGAACATGCAGCAAGACTCAGACGCAGTGCGGATTGGGCAGGGCGGATTTCGAGAAATTTCCCGACACTCGGGTGACTTTAGCGCTACCTCATCACCTGATATGGTTGATTTAAGAACGAATGAAGTATATATCATAATTGTGAGACTCAGATAGCAAAAATCAATAAACTCATTGTTGACAGAATAATATTGAACAGCAACCTCCCCACCGGGGGGGGGACAAACTAATGGTAAATGTTCTAAATTCATGGTCCATGTCATCGTCAGCTTATTAGAAATTCATAACTGTTGGATCAGATTATAGTCTTATTAATTATCATAGATCCATCACAGTACAAAACAAGGAATTTTCATGTCCTAATGCCTAACGAGACCCTGTCGTAAAGATGTCGCAGTTTTATCCACATCGGTGATTGTTCATGAAGTTCAGCAAGTTCACCTTCACATAGCGTCTTGATCATGATGAAGTTGGATTTTTAGTGATATAGCATGAACTTTAAGTGTACTATGTAGCTTTGTTGGTTTATTTCGAACACTCTTGTTCCTTGGCAAACAACGACTAATTTGCAAAAATGTGCCGACATCTTTTTTGCAAATTGACCGCTCCGGTTTGAGTAACCCCATCTCCCTCTTCTGAGAAGATATGGTTATTTGTAGTCAGATGCAAAATACTGACAAGCCATTATCCTTAGCTAAAATAATCTTTCTCAAAACTTTCTATTTACGATACGCGTTGACAGAACAAGAAGCAGTTCAGATCTAAGTCCCTAAGCCCTATACCAATTTGTTCACTTATTCATCAAAGAGAAACCTATGCATCTATATGATTAATACAGTCTGAAATGATTCCATTGTTATAAAAAATAGAATATATAAAAATTATGTAATCAAATTTTCAATGGTTAAAACAAACAATTTCACCTTAGGTAATAAACGCTGGAACAGGATATTAGATTACGCAAATGCCGAATTACATCGACAATGTGAAATGCATTATAACTGAATAGGAACTGTACGATGATGATCACTAGCTTACGTAATTGGTCATAAGCACAATCTCTAGCCGTCCATAGGTCTTCACAACTCGAAAAAATATTTTAATGGATCACAATGGATTTAGTTGTTTCCAAAAATTTAAAGAAGTAGTAAATTATTACTTAGAGAAGGAACAAATACCAGAAAATTTTAAAGCATTAGTAGGTCATTTTGAAATCAAAATGAAGATAAATTATGTTTTTTCCGTATTTATAGAGCTTCTAACACAAATATTTCCCCTTATAGTTACATTTAGCTTATTATAATTATTTTTGTGATTCTAAAATAGAAAGCAAACTCAAGCCTAAAAATATAACCTTTCCTTTCTTTCAGAGTTCAGAATTTATTGTAATATCAAATTGAGCATTTCCTTTGCGGTGACTAACGAAGAGAAAATAAAACAGAGTGAGTAATTTATGCCTCCATTAGGCTTCCATTATTTATAGCAATTACTAAATATACAAACAATAGCATCATTTGATTAATAACCATCGATTATATATTCCTTCAATATTTTTAACAATTGAACTGCTTCAATTTCATTAACATGAGATCGATACTTTCATTGCCATTCACACTTGATGAAAAGAAAGCAGATGGAGTTGTAAGTTCTCTTCAGCGAGCTTTGTTATCTACTCAAATGTAATTGCCCATGAATCTGAGCAACCTATTATCATCTACTCAAGTGGACGTTTAAATGAGTAGGAGAAGGTCTGTGAGCGGAAGAAAGCTACAGGTTCCCACTTGCTGACTTTTTGTTTTTTTTGGCTAAAACCTGCTTTGGAAAAATTTTCAGAGAAGAAAGTAAACAGACTAAGAAGAAAGTAAACACTTGAACAAATTTAATTATAAGCTTTTTTTAATACAGTTATTAACCTTCAAAAGCATTTCAGGCTTTTATTACACCTCATACATATTTATGAGTGAAAAAGTCATCTTGAAAAGTTTTCTCAAACACGAACTTGAACATTATGCTCTTCCGCATATCGGTACTTTTCTTAAGTGAATGGATATTCACTTTATATACTGTCTTTCACATTTGCTGTTACTCTGGACCTTCAGGTAATAGTAATTAGCTGCTTTTGTCATGTAGCACTTCTATGTCAAATTTTATTTTAATGCTTAATTTAATTTTATATTTTACGTTAAAATTTATTACATTTAGACCAATCGTATGGAGTATAAAAATGATATCTATTAAATACAAGTGAAAATATACCAAAAAAAGTTTTTAGGATAATAGTGTTTTCTGAAAATATCTAAATGAATCAAGAATGAAAACAAAAACAGATCTCAGTTTCTTAATGAACAATTGTGTTGTAACAATAAAGTTTTCATTATAATAAATATTCTGAATTATCAACTGTCTGTTTCATTAAAAGATAGATTGATGAAAGTGGAGGAAATAGTTAGGTTAGGTTAACTGAAAACGGTAAAGCTAACGAAGGTTCTTTCTCTAAAGAAAGGGATGGCTTCAAGGAGGACTTTCTAACGATAACTGGTACCTGCTCACGTTACACATACAGAAAAACTCGGTAACCAATCGTGAAGCGAGTCCTTTCGCTGTATCGAACCCGTATTGAATCATCTGTATTCTATCAGTCTTGATCTCTTTGCCACTAATGGAGCTCCTTTTTACTTCTTTCTAAGAAATAAAAGAAGTATTGTAATCGCGAAAAATTTCGGGTATCATATTTCAACGAAACTATCCATTTTATCAGCTCTCGGATCCATCTGAACAAATTTTTTTGCGTGACATCTGTACCTACGGACAGAATAAAGGTCTGTATTTTCCGAAACGTATTGTAAAATGGATTTAACATTGATTCAGAAAGTATTTTTTGTAACGTCTGTACGTTTGTATGTATCTCACTCAAAAACGATTAGCCATTTAATGTTGAAATTTTGTGTATGGGACTGCTATAATATCTAGTTGTGCGCATCCCTTTTTTATTGCAATCGGCCCCACCGAACGTATATATATATATGTATATATATATATACACCTTCTTGCTCGCCTTGGTGCGCTCTCTATTTTTATTCTTTATGTGTCGGTACATTGTGCTTTTCTTGTTTTAAAATGATTGAATTATGTTGTTCTTATGTTCCGGCTTAGGTTTTTATGCCTTTAAATAACCTGCATGCAACAGTTGTAGAATTGTCAACAATGTAAAAGTGCAGAGAAGCCTGCCGTGGAATAATTTGTTTACATTTGAAACTCTTAGTAGTGTAGTGAATTAAGTCAGTTGATGCATCAGCTTCGGTGTCGCTCTGGCCAGCAGGACCGTAACTTAAGCTTAATTTTTGATGCATCAAATGCTTTTGTCATTTTGCAATTTGATCGAATTGCTTGTTTTTGCTTCGGTGTTTTAGTTTTTTGTGTTTTACAATTTTTAATGAAGATGTTTTAAGAGTTTTATGTATTTTTGCTTTGATGGGGAGTGAGATATTAACTGATTGTATGAGAAATGTATCCCTAATGAAATTCAAGGAAATAAGTTTAAATGAAAAGTCATGCGATGTCCACATCAGATTTTTTTCCCTGAGGAAAGTGAAGAAATAGATAATTCATAAGTAATAAATAAAATATGAATTCGCGGGTTATGTTTTAGAATAAGAATGAGGTAGAAAACAGATTTTTTTGTCAAACTATGCACTAGGCTTGAGCCTTCATTCTTGGAGGCGTATGTTCTGTCAGATGTCGAATGCTGCCTTGAGAAGTATCATTCTGATATCCTTCGAAATTCACTTAGTTTGTACGAAATTGTGTACTGAAAATAACTGTTCCAATCCTGGAGCCAGAACAACTAAATACACTGTCTACAGCGAATATTACATTACATAGGAGATATGTGATTTTTCCTTGAAAAGGTCTTCAGACAAAGACGTCCCAAGACGGACAACCCTGGAATTCTTTATGATAATTAAATGCGAAATGTACCATTTCGACTAAAGCAACGGAAGAAATTTATAAGAACATGACATACACAAATATATATTAAACATTCCTGTGGATATATTTAAAAGTTGACCTGGTTTGTCTGTTTATTTATTATTCAGTCACACAAATGCTAGTTGTCGGATCAATTCGAAATATTGATATTTTCAGTGCTTAGGAGCCCAATAATATTGACCATGCTGCAAGTTTCTTTTCACGTTAACACGTGATAGTAAACTGTACCTAAGAAAGTCAGTTTCAAATTCAATGCAATTTTTCTGGGTCTTGATAGATATTGCAGATACGCAACTATAGTATATTTGCTGAAACCTTTGTTAGCAAAATATTAACCATGGGTTTCTAAAAATCGATATATTCTTAATTTTGCTTAAGATGATTTGCAACAATTATCCACACGCAGGAGTATTGTGTCTATTAAATTCCATTTATATAATATACATTATATATTATATAAACACGCTGGTGCTAGGAAGTGGGGCAGTTGCTTTATTTCAATCCGGCACACAGTTTGCAAATTTGAAAATTCACTCACTTCTCTTGCGTTTGTTTTTTCGAAGCAAATGTATTATCTTATATAATCGTAAAACTTTATGTTACATTATTTTCACTTATTATTCTTGATTAGCTTTATCATTAAGGTTGTGCTGCTCTGTTAGTTTGTATTAAATTTGACCTTTTAATAATGAATATGTATTTTTTTATACTATAATGAATATATATTGTTGCATATAATTTATTATTCGTTTGTTTAATACAGATAGCAGATACATGAATTCAAATACAACAACAAATCTGTTTTCTTAAATGTGCAACTAGATCAATTCAAATAACTTTGGAAAGGTATCAAAGTAGATTCAGTAATAGTAAAATCAGTACTTTGACATTTTCAAGCTAAAAATTTACATGCTTGTTAGAAATGTGCCTCTAATCGACAGAAGAGTTGCTTTTTGTCTACCATATGTATAATGTCCCTAACATAAATGAAAGGCAAACGATAAATCCTTAGGTTATTCGAAGCTGAAAAAAATATCATTCGAATGATAAACGTGTATGTCTCATGCGTGAGAACAAATTACAACCGTAAAATTTACAAGCAAATTTTTATTAATTTGATTACATACAGATGCAATTTATTAATTGGAAAAAATATTTAACTATCATAAACTGCTATATTTTTCAATCTTAGTTGGGGCTTACATCAGCCTCCTAAATTGTATGGTAAAAAAAGGTTTAGTTTGAAATAGTAAGTGTTTAGTGTAAAACTGTTTTTATAATCATTTGTTTCGAATATTTATATTGTGTCCAAATTAGTATAATAAACATATTTTTAGGTTATTTTCCGTTTTTCCGTCTCTACATAATCCGTCAAAACCCCCTCCCCCTTAAAAAAGTCTAAATAACACTGAGCTAAATCCTCAAGCAGAAGCATTTTCATATAAAAAAGACTGAATTATTGAATTTGAAAAAAATGTACTCATTAAAAAAGGATTTGCCACCGATGAGCGCAGTATATGGAGTTAAAAACATCTTTTATTATAATGATAATAATATAAAAATATTCATAATTATACACTTGTTATTTAATAAATTAAATAGGCCTTATATATGCTATTACAATAAAAGGAAAAGGTTTATCTAATGAGGTTTTCAATATAGACACAGTTTTGCCAATTAACGCCAAGTATTTAAAAATGCTCATAACAGCTATTATTTGGATATATTAGGAATTAAATATATTTTAGACTAATTAGATATAATATTAAAACAGGAAATAGGGATTTAAGTTATTAAAAAACTCCTGCTTTTTTAAGTCATTCAATTTGTAAAGTAGTGCAATGGTAATTAAAGATCTCGTGTCATATGTATGATTAGCACTTTGGAAACCAGTGACTTGCCATACCGCTAAGGTGCTTAAGTTTCGTGTAGTAGTAACACTTGCCAGTTTGTGGTGGAAGATGAATGACATGGCTACGTAACATAAAGCCGTGTAATGTAACGTCACGTAACGTAATACCAAAAAAATTTTAAGACATTTTTAAAGTTATTTCTAACACTGAAAATAAAATGAAGATTTATATTATCAAGAATGAATTGAATTTGTTGCTTCTAAATAATTTGCTTTATTAAATCAATACAGTTATAATTGAAAGCATGTATTAAAGGCTTTATATTCTGCTTCATGGAAGCATTCTAAAAGCTAGTTGTTTTGCAGGCAGTGTGAAAGATAAATTCAAGGTTTTGTGAAACTCTTACCAAATCATATTAAAGCTAAATAATATAATGCAACAATAATATAATGTAATATCCTATATTACAAAAAACATTATTAAAGACAGAAACTCAATACTCATAATTTTTGCGATTAGTTTCCTTTCTGAACTATTAACTAAATAAATAGTTAAAACAAGATAAAATTAATTGGTATTGGAAAAGCATTGGGAAGCTATTTGTTTAATAAAGAGTTTACAAGCGTATTATTGCTGATCTTACTGTTTAAAACTGTACAAAATGAGCAAACTTGAAAAATGAAAAATATTCCCATTATGGCAAACTAAAAACGCTAAACTAATCTCATTAAAAACATTTTCAGAGATAAACTATTCAAAAGCAGTTAATCTTAATTGTCTGCTACCACTGCTTTTATTTCGTATTAATTTATTATAAGAGCACTTATGAACTTTCAAATAAAATAACATTTAGACTTGCCTCTCCAAAACTACAGTAAAAAAGAAATCTACTGTCATATCCATGTGTGCATAGAAGCCGGGAAATAAAAGAAAAGAACCCAGTAACCTCAAACTTAACCAATGGGAAATTTGTTGAAATTTGAACTTCTCGTATATCTTATATGCTAGAAATTCTATGTATAACATTACATCTACTCTTTTCCCGCCATTTTGGTCGTTGTCTGAGGGTTTCTTCATTTTACAGCATCACTGGCGCACCTGTTTGAGTGGCATAGGTACAGTGGCAACCCTTCACGCTATGCTCGTGGTATCGGCATCACGTCCGTATCAATTCTCCTGTTATCGGTCTGGCCTTGGTCACCGAAGAAAACATAAAGAAAGTGCCACAGCAGGGAGGAAACAGCTCCACTCAGCCTCGTGTTATCAGCATCTGCGTTTCTAGCTGCTGCAGGATAACCATCTTGTGCATTTTAATGAGGAAGAAGTTTTTAGAAATGGTGTAATTAAAGAAATTCTGATGTAATCGTCAAGCATCTGTCTTCGGCTATTAATGTTTTAATGTCATCCTTATTAAATTTCTATGAAGCTTCAAAATAAGAGAAAACTAATTATTATGATTTTCATTACAAGCACTAATAGTGTCGAATTCTGCTTGTTAGTTTCAATACTTTAAGATATTATGGTCAGAAAATATTTTTTACTATCGTAAAAATATTTTCTGACCATAATATCTTATTACATTATGAATAATTATTACATTATTATTCATAATGTAATAAGCTACATTATGAAGATATTCATGAGAATGTGCTTTCATTATAAGATATTTATATACATTGATGTACTTTTACATTTCAACAAAGCCGTTTTTAAATCAAACTTACTGGAAGAGAAACCAAAACAACTAGATATGTTTGTGAAACGTACAGATGCATCTTGAAGGGTCCTAGTTTTAACATAACTGTATTTAACTCACTTTTCACAGTTAAGGTAATATGCGACTGCCGAAGATCTAGCGGCTAGACAGGCAGATACGTGACTAAAACATGTGAAATTAATGATTTGTGAATATAAAAGAATAATTTTGTAGGATACACTACAGCTTGTAGCATCGAAGAGAAAATTCACTGTTAATGCCAAAAACTATGTTAAATATATGCAACACTATTCTAAATATATGCAACACTATTATCAGATTTATTACTAACTAAATTTTGCCATCAACGTTTGTAATCAGTAACGTTTAAGCTTACTTCTTAATTTGAGGCATTAATATACTTCGTATATCTAGTTGGTTTAGTTAATGATTAAATTCATTAAAACGCAATAGTTATTCTTAAGAAATTCAATTCAGCGGACGAAATTTGCGACTAGCTGCTGTATCTTTATTTATTTATTTATTTATTTTTTATTTCTTTGTGCGAAGTAAAGGAAGTATTGTAATAAGGAAATATTTCGGGTATCATATTTCAACAAAAATATTCATTTCAACCATTCTCGAAGGCTTTTAAATGATATTTCTGCATGACATCTGTACATACGAACAGCATAAAGGACTATTTTTGCCAAAAAGAACTGTAAATTGGATTTAAAATGGATTCAGAAGTGATTTTTTATTGACGTACGTACCTATATATGTATCTTACATAACTCAAGAACGAGTTGCCGTAGAACGTTTAAATTTTGCATATGTATCCCCACTCTGTTACCTGCTTCGGTGAGCTTGGTTTTTTTTATTCTTATATGTTGGTAAATTGTACATATTTGCTTTAAAAGTGATTAAATTATGTGTCTAGAAGACTTTCGATTAAGGTTTTTATGTCTTTTCTTAATCTGCAATAGTTATAGAATTATCAATAACTTTAAAGTTTAAATGGCGAGTTAAGCCTAACGAATGGCCATTTGTTTACCTTTGGAACTCAGAAGAATAGTGAATTAAGTCAGTTTCTGCATGTCTTTTTGGCGAATGGAATCAAAAGTAAATTTTCAGTTTTGTGGACCGAAAAATATTCTTTCTGCTCGCTGACCGAATTCCTTGTTTTTGCGTAGAAACTCTAATTTTTAGTCCAAAGGGATTTTTTCCTGAAGGACCATTGTTTTCGTTTCGCGATTTTGCGTTGGTTCACTATAAATGTCAGTTCCACTTTTCAAACTGTTGCCACCAAATGTTAGAGTCCTGCATTATATTTGAAGAAAGTAAATAATGAAAAATCTGTATAAATGTATGTATATTTTTCGCATTGTGATAAAACAACAGTACATAGAGCCATCGAATTTTGAATGACGTAATCCTACTGCGAATATGGGCATGTGGGAGCCCAAATTTGAAATTTGGAATTTGTTTTATTATCGATTTCATATTTTGTAAATCTTTTATGAATTTTTGATTAATAAACTCAAGGATTTCAAAGCGAGGAATGGCAACGTTGTACAGATAAAACATTTTATATCTCCAGCGCCTGAGACTGCGTATCGAAAATTCTAAAAATATGCTCATTTTAAAATTCTTTTGTGATATTGTTGTTGAACTGAATTTTATGAATTTTATGGTTTGTGCAAGTAGAATATAATATTTAATAAAAAAAAAGTAAACACAAAACTTTTAAAAAACGCCCCTTTGGACGTAATTTAAAATCTGAAACCTTTCAGATTTTTTTATTTTTTTTTAATTTTTTTAACTCTATTTGGTATTATGTTTTTCTGTATTTTACAATTTTTAATGAAGGTGTTTTGAGTTTTTATGTATTTTGCTTTGCCATGAAGTGAAAACTGAATTAATCAATGAGAAATGTATCTATAATGAAATTTGTGGAAATAAGTTTAAATGAAATGCAGCAAAAATGTGTATAATTTAATAGCCATACAAAGAAGTTTTGTAGTTTTCACATCAGATTTTTTCTTTTGATATCCTTTTTACATTCTTAAATGCGCGTTAAATTCGCACAGAGTTTATTAAAAATGAGGAGCAAAGGAAGGTGAATAATCATGCAGTTGTTGTTGTTGCAAGGGGTGAAACCCTCGGACCTCCAACCCGAAACAAATTCAGCCATCAGGCCATAGCAGGGGCCAACCCGTCAAACAATAACGGAAAACAGCGAGTCAGCCATGTTCCATTAAATTATACAATCAAATCAAAATCCCTAATGCTTCTCTATTCTGATTAATTCTCATCTTAATTTCTTCAGCTACTTGTTTAATTTTTTCATAATTTTCAAAATCCCCCTTTATATCAAACTGGTGTCTTTCAACTATGTCTCTAGTAAAACTACAAGATTCAAAAAGCGGCAGTTATTATCTTTTGCTTTACAAAACTAACAGTTTTAATTTTCTTGAAGACCAAATCGTTTAAAATATGCTGGGAATCATCCGTGACCAGCAGTAATTCGGTTCATATCTACTATATTATTAAATATCTCTTTCCTTTCATCAATTTTCAAAAATCTGGTATAACCAGATAACCATAAAGTATGCGATCTGTTTCTAGTTAGTCGGTTATTTTATAGATGGCGCCTTTAACACGCTATTTTTAAATTCGAACATGCGATAAAATGGCAGAAGAAAAGAAATGATTAAAACAATAATCAATTTAAGCCTTTTCCCAAATTTAAAAAATGCATAGGCAACTAAAAGCGACAGTTCTCATACTGCATGATGGCCGAAAGTGAAAAATAAAACTGGATACTTAAATTAAAACCTTACAGTATTTCCACTTGATATACATTCTCACAAGTAATTATAAATTATGTGATATTCTTGCCAAATGATCGGCTCAAAAAATTATTCACTTCTATATCAATTGCTGCGTGATAAAGGGTAGTTGAAAGCTTGAGCTGCAGAAGAATCTCTACTAATTGGCAACAACAGGAACTTACTGATTGTAGATAACTGAATATACATTTCTAAAACTTACCTGTTCATATTTTTCGTTACAACATGTACAGTCCTTTGGTAGTATGTACAGACCTATTGACTGCTATTAAATAAAAAATCTGAGGTGGACACAACACGACTTCCTTGTACAGACTGTTAAATTATACACATTATTTTGCTGCACTTTATTTAAATTTTTTCCTTCGAATTATTCTAACTTAATGGATCCCTCACGGAAAGATGAAAATGACATCAAAAATTGCAAATTTTTAAATTAAATATGCCGATCAATTTTTGTGATATGGGAGACAAACTTTTTATAGTTTTATTTTTTACAGAGAGTATAAAATTTTGTCAAATATAAGGATATAAACCGAGAGAACCACATTAAAAGTCAGATTTCGATATTAATTTTTTTTTTTAATTTGAAAGTACCAAAGAATGAATCATTTCATCATTTAAAACACCTCTGTAACTGGTAGTATATGTCTAAGACCAACGATTGCGAAAAATAAAGCATGGGTAAGGAGATAGGCCGGATAAGGTAGTGGTATACATATATAAATATGTAAGAAAATAAAGAATATATAAAAGATTAAATTAGCAGCGAAAATTAATTCCCTTCCGTATTCTAAAAATTGTAAACTCTATTTACACTGCGTCATTTCGAGAAAAATCTATGTCATATGACTTACATAGTTCTGTTGATGTAAATGGAACTAAAAGTCAAGCAGCAAATAATAATTTTACAGAAGTATTAACTATCCAATCAAAATGCAATGAGAACCAAAACTAATTCTGAATTAAGATTTCACCCTTAACATAACTTACTTGCATCAGTGCTTTGGCCTAGCTGCACTGCTGTCTTTCTGCTGCTTCCTTCTTGCTGCAGAGTTATCAAAAATGTAAACATCTTGGAATAGGCACAATTGCACAATTAATGTGCCAGCTTGATTGTGGCCGCAATATATTTGTTGAAATTAAAGTTGAATTAATATACCTTGACTTAAAACTTCTTACTCATAGTGAATCGGCATTTCAGCATTCGACGGCATCAAAATTCTCGCTACACACACATAAATATATATTGTTACGTTTTTTATTCTTCTGACACCAGTTCGTACGGGGTTCGTGAGGATTTGGAGGGAATAATGACGACACTACTTGATGCAGTATTGAGACACACTTTATTGGTCAGTGTTGCCAAGATAGCTCCAGAATACGCTTTTACAGTCGTCGATGAACTACTATAAACACGCTGACACGATCAGCGACACAACCTCCAGGTTATCAGGCTATCACGGTGGAGACAGCTTCACGGCAAAGCACTAGAGTACAGCTCCCTACTCTGTTTGGTCGTTTTCGGAACTCCACGTACTCTCTAGACTCTCCACGCTACAACTCGTGATGCACTCGACGACACACAGCACAGCTCCCGACTCTTCGGTTCAGTCGTTCCCGGAGCTCAACACGCTCTCTCGACGATGCACTAACCGCGATATACTACGAGACTCTTGCGGTGCACTCGACTACCCACTCGGCACTCGCTGCCCGGCTGTCAACTCGATCCACTCCTCAGGGACTGACTCGCTAGACGAGACACATACACACTGACTGCGGACCAGCAGGGTTTATATAGCTTTCGGCTTGGGTTCGAGAACATTCTGGGCTAAACCGGTAAGAATTCGTTCCAGAAGGTTCTCCATCCGTCCATAGTACATCGCCAATTTTTTTCGCCAAACGGGCGATTTCTAGCCAAATATGGCAACCCGGCC